GGGGAGGGCGCGGGAAAACTCCGAATGCTTCCCTCGGGTCGCCTCGCGTAAGGCCGTTTCTGTCACCGCAGCTCCCCTCCCCGGGGCTCCCGGTTGGTATTTCTGGAACAAACATTCGGGACGGCCCGTGCAGAGGGCACGGCGGGGCCCCGTGCTCAACAGGAGGGGGAAAAGGAAACAAAAACCCAAAACCTCAATGTCAAATTTGCTTGACGCGGGAGCCAAGAAGCTCCGGCTTGGGCAGCTCCCTCCGCTCGGGGAATCGCCCCACGGTCCCGCTGGTAGCCAGCCCGGCCTGGCTCAGCAGGTGCACCTAAGGTAGTTCGGTTAATCGTGTCCTGGTCGGTTTTCTCCGTGTTCCTTAAGTAGCACGTGTTGTGCTACATATTCACCAGCCATATTTCCCCCCCCAGTTTTCAGATTTCTTTTACCACATGTCATATCTCTTCAATAAGATCAGCAAAAATGCATATCGAATATACGACTGATGAGAACGCATGAAAAAAGATTGTTTCAAGCTGTGTGGACTGGCCTCATACTGCCTATTTATGGCAGAGAGAGGATCTTATTTCCTTTGGGCAGTATCGAACAACTTTTAACTGTTATAGTGCCTTTTTTTTTCTGGTATCCATGGCTGTACACTCTCCAAGTTCTGAACAGCCAAATCATGATTCTCCAGATAGTCTGCTTTACTGCAGTTCTTGTTCCCACAGCAGGCTTATTCTCTACAGAAAAAAGGTTATGATCTTATGGAAAAACCACAATCAGTCAAGCATTGCCTGGCTTGCTTAAAATATTTTTTCTTCTGTGTGCAATTTTCTAGATATCCCTTTTAAGCAGTTTGAGAAAAACTCAAATTCCATTGCACTGAAGTCCACGTGGGTCATAAAGCACTGGAGCTTGTAGGTCAGCTGTAGATACGTGGCACTTAGGCTAATGGAGCGACTGATAGCAGTAGGAGTTTGTCATTCTTTAGACCAGCACTAGAAGACCTTTTCCGACAGTCAGGAAACTCAGTCAAGGAACTCTAATTTCCTGTGCTTCCTTCCAGGTTCTATAGGGGATTGTGGTTTTGTAGGCACAGTCTTTTTCCTCTCTTTCTCAAGTGTAATTCCAGCTATGTAATCATCTGCAACATTTTATTTTTGATTCACTCCTGGTGGTACCTCCCAAATCACTAGGTCTTGCTTATCCATTAAGAGTCTTATTTTGCACCTCTCACCCTAGCTTTCTCATCTCCAAGCTTTCTCAGCTTGTCCCAGCTCTGATTGCTGTTCGCTTTTTTCACTCTCATCCACTTTTCACTGTCATTACTTGTCCAGCCAACACCGTTCATATTCCTGATTCTTCCTCTGATCTCTTTCCCCTTCGTTACACCTTGGATAGCATCCCAATCCTCATCTCCCTCTCGTAATTCCACACCCTAATTTCTTCACAGAGTTCCCTGATATACTTGGGTTTATACCCCAGTTCTGTTGATGTGTCCCATTTCTGTTGTTCACACAGCAGATCCATTTCCTTTTCCTCTTATCTGTTCTCCAGCCACTGTTCTGTGGCATGATGAACCTGCTTTTTCATAGTTCTCTCCTTACCTCCCAATATCAACTCCCAGTTCCTAATTTCTTAATTTATATAGTCCCAATCTATTTTCCTGCATGATGCAGCTTTGCTGCCTATCCAGTGCTAGTTACAGCTTCTACCTCTGCTTTTCCTTCTGTCCTACACTTACCTGAATTCCTTATTCCAAACTTCCCTTTTATCTCCTCTGCATCTGAGTTGGAAAGTTCTGTTTTCTGTGCTGCCCGACAGGTCACTATGAACTCAGCAGACGCAGGTTCCTTGCTCGTAGTTGCAGGACCGAGTGGGGAGTGGGCAAAGTTCAATTTTATGCCTGTAGCTATGAGCTGGAGAGATGAACCTACTTAGTGGCTTGATGGGAAGGAAACGCATAGTGCAGTGGGAATTCTCACAAGGTGAATTATTAACTGTTTCTTCTGGACATTTACGAATTGTGGTTTTTCTGTTTTCTAACTTAGTAAACACTGGGTGACTAGGTAGATTGAAATAGTTCTGAATGTAAGCATAGCAATGTATTTTTTCTATAACTGCTTTTAAAAACAGTTTTGGCCATTTTGGTGTAAAGTGAGAGAAAAACGAGGCAGAGAGCATGAAAAATTTCAGCCTAAGCAGTTAGCTGGGTCTTGCTGTAAATACTGGATCTAGACTCTTTGCTGGGCAGCATAATGGTAAATTACAAAGGCTTTCATGTAATAAGGCACACTGGTATTTAGGCACCTTGAGACAAAGGTCACTCACTGCCCAGTGTTTTGTCCTCCACAGCCAACAACCAAACTCTTCATTGATGGGAAGTTTGTTGAGTCCAAAACTACTGAATGGATTGATATCCACAACCCGGTAAGTGAAATGGCCTCAGCGATCACAGTGCAATGAGGGTCTGTGCCTCTCTCCAAGAATCTGGCAAAAGGGGAAAGTACATATATTCCTTGAGAAAGGTTTAGACTTGGAGCTTAAGATGGATTTAGCACCATGTAATTGCGTGAAATGTCAGTCTGAGGAAAGTGATGACCTCCTTTATCTCCCCTGGGTAGTAAAACTGATCTCCGGAAAGGAAGCTTAAACTCTGCTTACATTTTGTTTGTTCATAGAAAGGCTCTGTGATTAGTATGTCTAATTCCTGAAGCATTTCTTTCACCCTGTATGTGAAATCAGCCGGGTGTGATTTGATGCCAGCTGAATGTGAAGTCCTGATAGAGACTGATTTCACTCTCAGACTGAGGTAAAAAGTCCTGGCAGCTGAAGCTCCTCTCCTTTCAGAGAGCTTCTGTCTGCGAGCCACAATATTCACAGTGAGTTTAGAGGTTGGATCCTATACAGTGCAAAATAGTCTTAGATTAGTAGCACTTGTAGTTGTCAGAATCCTCCACCAAAGACAAACGGAAATGAGGTTGCACTCAGAATTCTGACCCTTCTGACCCCCCTAGTAAGCATTTGGACAGCAATTTCTAAAACTTTTCTCTGTAAAGCCCTATTTCAGTTTGCTTTGTGGAAGCGATCAGAGCAGCGAGCCATGTTCATGAAGCTCATTTGGTCTCTATGTGGTGACCAATATTCTTGTTTAATTTTCTTTCTCTTGTTTTGCATAGTTTCTCTCTTAGCGATGTACCTGATGTTTTTGTCATGTCAAAGCAGATTTATTTTTTAAGAGTGCATTAGAAGGACATTAAACTGGCAAAGACAAGCTTTTAAAGTTAAAATACTGTAGAACCAAGGTTGCTTGTAAAAATTGTACTTTGGCCTAGTGGTCTAGGTAAACTAACATCAGTGCCAACTGCACAGTCATGTACTGCTTGTTCCAAAGGAACCTTGTCTCATTTAATGCACAAGAGGGACAGCAGGTGAGCCAAGATGATGCCGAAGGAAAAGACCACAGTCCACAGAAACCTTTGCCTTGTACTCTCTAGAAGCTTCAAGATAGGCAAGTCACTTCAACTCCAACTTGGAAATTGGCGCCGCATTTGCAGCTTTCTGGGTGCCTAATTTGAGATATGTGGAGTACAGATTTTCAGAACTATTCCAGTTTTAGCCCAGGCCTTTTTTGTGCACCAGGGAAGGAGTCGCTTTTGTGCTCTCCCCTTAGAAGTACAGATCCTTGTAGAACAGGGATAATAGGTGTGTGGTGTGAAAGGACCGTTGAATGGTTGGCAGGTACAGATGGAGGAAGTTGAGTTTTGATGGAGTTTGGTTTTTCCTTCAGGCCACAAATGAAGTGGTTGCCCGTGTACCAAAAGCTACAGCCAGTGAGATGGAGGCAGCTGTGGCTTCTTGCAAAAAGGCGTTTTGGAACTGGTCAGAAACATCCGTTCTGAGTCGCCAGCAAATCTTCCTGCGTTATCAACAGCTCATCAAAGACAATCTGGTGAGACACCACAGCTGTGTGTGATGGCTGTTGCTGACTGTGTTGCAGTTGACTTTAGGAATTAAATTGAGAGTCTCAGGGTTTACAGAGTTCTTGATGAGGCATTGTTGCCATGATTGAGCATCCAACTGAGACACTGTTGTTGAGAGGTGTAGCAAAGCACTCTCCATCAAACGGGGACAGAGAGGCGGTACTTCTTAGGGAATATTATTCTGCATTTGTCCCTTTACCAAACGACCACAAGAGGAACTTTCAGCCTTGATGGAGAATGTGCCAGTTGATAAAGAGAAGTGGGAGAAGTATGTTACTATGTGTTTGCATTTCCCCGATTGCTTTTTTGGTGTGTCAGTGGTGTGACACCTGAAAGCTGTAGAGTACAAGCCAGCCCACCATTGCTTCTTCTAAAATGTCACCCAGGTGGCTTATTGGCTTCTTGTCTACAAGGAGCAAATCAGTCAGTGTGGGCTTTTCCAGGTTCTGCTCAGTCTGTTCATTGTGATGCTCAGCTCTCTGTTAAACTGTCTTATCCCTGCACCCTATTTCATGGGCAGACACTTTTCTAATTATCATAAACTTTCTGTTTTCCAATTGCAGAAAGAAATTTCAAAACTCATCACCTTTGAGCAAGGGAAGACCCTGGCTGATGCTGAGGGAGATGTGTTCCGAGGCCTCCGTAAGATGCTGGCTCCTCCTCTTAAAAAAGGGGATTTCAGAACCCATAGGGAAGGGAGGCAGTCTCCTGAGCAACTGATTGCTCTGGGAATCTGTACACATAGCTTCCTTCATAGCCTTCTATGGAAAGAAAAAGGTCAATTGCAGCTCTAACCTGAAAAGTTCCCTTAGATAGAGTTTCTTTAAATCACTTCCGAGTCATTAGATCCTTCCTTTTCCTAGGAGTGACTACAAATCGCTGCAAAGGGATAAGAACTTCTTGCTTGTGCTCAGAGGTCTAAGGTTGAGCCCCAGCTGGTACAATAATACTATGCCTGTGCTTCTTTTACTGGGGCTGGTGTGTCTGTGCTCCTGTCACAATGATGTATAATGCACTCAAGAGAGAATCCACTCACAGTGCTTGGCAGAACAAAGGTATTTTCTGGAGCACAATGAGTTTTAAGTTGTGGGAAAAGAGGCTGGAAGAAAGACTTGGGACCAGGCAGTGGTGAGAAGGGAGTTTGGGGACTAATTGTTAACAGATCATCCAGTGGCATATTGCCCTTTCTGCTGCAGAGGTGGTTGAACATGCTTGCAGTGTGACATCCCTCATACTGGGAGAGACCATGCCCTCCATCACTAAAGACATGGACACTTACACCTACCGTCTGCCTCTGGGTGTGTGCGCTGGAATTGCACCGTTCAATTTCCCAGCCATGATTCCTCTTTGGATGTTCCCCATGGCTATGGTTTGTGGAAACACCTTCTTGATGAAACCATCTGAGCGTGTACCAGGAGCACTCATGTTCCTTGCCAAGCTGTTTCAGGATGCTGGTGCCCCTGATGGAACCCTGAATATCATCCATGGACAACACGAAGGTAATAATAGCCCTTCTTGGGAGATGGTTGGAGTGTGTAAGTGTTGTGGTGTATGTGCAGTGGAGGTACCATTTGGAGAGTCTGATACTGCTGCTGTTAGATAGGTTTGGACAGATGCTTCAGCCCTCTTGATGGAGGTGAAGGGAGGTGGTAGGGAGATTCTCTGCCATCTTGCCCCAAATCTTTCAGGATTTTGGAGGCTGCGGTCAGAGTTCCCAAGGCATGTAAATGTTAAAATTCTATTTAGAAACCTAAGCTGCAACTGAAATAAGTAGATAAATCATCTTGGCTTCCCAAGGAAGCCTAAACAAGAATAAAATGCCTCACTGAATATGGAGTGGATGCCAGTATTCTAGCTCCTAACATGACTTTTTTTTACAGCACACAAGTAGCTTCAGAACACAAGGATACAAATAGACAACAGTAACTTTGCTTTGGCATCGCTCAGGCACCTTGGGAGATGCCCAAAGCGTGAAGAGATGGCAGAGAGCCAGGTGTACGAGGAGAGGGGCAGGAGCCCACATGCTGAGAAATTAGTGGAGAGATGCACAGACAGGCAGTGGGGGAACTCAGATGTAGGAAATGCAGAGGCAAGAATTTTGATAGGAAGAAAGATACGCGGATTTAGCACTGTGGGGATGGGAACAGAGGGAAGCATTTGTGCACCACAGTTAAAATGTATTATTTCCTATTTGAAGCTGTGAATTTCATTTGTGACCATCCGGATATCAGAGCAATCAGCTTTGTGGGATCTAATCAGGCTGGCGAGTACATCTATGAGAGAGGATCCCGGAATGGCAAGAGAGTCCAGGCCAACATGGTAATGCCTCTGAATGGAGCACGCTTCAGCACATAGACTGCCTCTGTCTCCTGTGAATGTTAAGAGAGACCACACCACTCAGCAGCAGAAGCTGACTTTGCTACTGGTAGTTAAGTGATGAGGCTGCCCTTCTTGCCAGCCTGTTGGTAGCAGAGTCATAGCTACTGTATAAAGATATTGCCAGAGAGCTAGAGAAGAAGTGGGCTGGGGTGGTTAATAATGGGAGACCATGTATGTGTTGTATTTCAGGGAGCCAAGAACCATGGTGTGGTGATGCCTGATGCCAATAAAGAGAACACCTTGAACCAGCTGGTTGGAGCTGCTTTTGGAGCAGCTGGGCAACGCTGCATGGCCCTGTCTACAGCAATTCTAGTGGGAGAAGCTCAGAAATGGCTGCCAGAGCTCGTGGACAGAGCCAAAAATCTACGTGTAAATGCAGGTACAGACTGTGATAATTTCTTATGAGGTACTTCACTTCTGTAGAAGTGTAGCTTTTTAGGTTGGTGTATCTGCCATGCTACAGCGTGTCCCTTGGAGCTATTGGCACTATAGATTTGATGTGTAGGGGTAGGAGCTAGCAGATTGTTTGGATTGGGAAACACAGCCCTAGACTTAGAGTTAGGAATACGTAGGAAGGCTTGGCAGTATGACTGTGATGCAAGGTTTACAGGTTTGGTCCTGTTTTAACTGGAACTTTCAGGTTATGTCCTATGTTTAACTCAAACCTACCATTTTTATAGCAACCTCATGTAGAGATCCTTCCAATTTGTAATAAGCATGCAATAAAAAGGAAAAATGGAAACAAGTACTTTAGAAAAACTAGACTGTTATTAATTCTAGGAGAATCATCTTTTGTTCAATAAAGTCCTGCAAAGGGGAAAAGTTTCCTTTCTGAGAAGAATCTGTTGTTGAATTTTGGCTTCCCGGTGATCTAAAATAATGCTTATGCTTATGAATTCTCTTATTTGTTGATTATGAGAGTTGCAGGCTATTATTCCTGTTCATTAATGTTCTGTGTCTCAGAAACATCAGGATTTTCAGATTTTTCCTGCCAGTGTAATTATGTCCATGATGCCTGTGAAGAGGAAGCTGTCAGGGTTAAAAACTTGGTGTCTCTGCCTCTTCGCAGGAGACCAGCCTGGAGCAGATCTAGGGCCTCTGATCAGTCCCCAAGCTAAGGAACGGGTTTGCCATCTGATTGAGAAAGGAGTAAAAGAAGGTGCCAGCCTTCTTCTGGATGGACGTAATATCAAAGTGAAGGGCTATGAAAATGGCAATTTTGTTGGGCCAACGATCCTTGCCAATGTCAAGGTAAGATGACCGAAACCAGTGCTTGGTACTGTATGTTGCAGGGTCAACTGAAAAATGGGTTACCCAAACCAGTCAGTAATCAGTAATCACCAGGTGGAAACCCTGTAAGTGGCTCAGCCTTCCCTTGCACGATTCCAGTGAAGTGCTCATTGTAATGCTGCTGTTGAGGTGATAAAAGAACTTGGAGTAGCAGCGTACTCTGAATGGGGTTAATGATCTTAACTTGAATGGATTGCAGCCAGTTAAAAGAAGATATGGGCAGTTTGTACTGTGTTGAACTAAATGTCCAAGAATAATACAGGATAAGGTATTCACAACTTTGTTGAGTCAGCCTCTCAATATAATGCATAGTGTGCAGCAGGTGGACACTACTGCAGGGGAATATTCTTTACCAGGTGCACATCCATGTGAGTTTTCATACCTAAAATCCTTCTTTTACATTTATGCAATTAGCTGTTATGATTTCCTTAATACTTAAGTATTCAGTTCCTCGTGAGCCTTTTGGTAGCAAACCCATCTTGATAGTTTTGCTATTGTACTTTGCATTCTTAGGATTTTATTGATTTTATGCTATTATAATTCAGGCTTCATCTATCTCAGAATTTTCTTGCCTTATTTTCATTAAACATCTTAAGATACTTCACTTACCTGTGATGCATCATAAATATTGTTAAGTATTCAAAAGTAAAAGTTTCACTGAGATTTTGTGATTCTTAGTTTTCTTATAGAGTGGTTAATAATATGGTAATCCACATAAAATTTGCAACTGGTCAAATGAATGTTTTGTAGTTTGCTGTATTAGCTATTAGTGATTAAAGTACTCTCCAACTGGTGTTTTTGTATTTGTCAGATGTTGCTAATTATCGGACATAAATCCTGGATGCTGAGTTGGAAAGGATAGCAGGTTCTAGTCACTTTGTCAACAAGAACTGAAGCAAACTATCCTGAATTAATCCCGGTCTTAATCAGCCTCGGTCAGAGCAGACCTGCACGTGAGGTTAGGCAGGCAGTGAAAGTAGGATGCGCTCTGGAGATGAAAAGTTGGTGCCCCCTGTAGTGGACTGGGTAGATGGCTGGGCATGGGAAATGGGGAAGAGGCAAGGAGGACTGAAGGATGGCCTGTGGCAATGCGGTATGATGGGTGATCCCAGGAACATCCTGAGCATTAGCAGCATGTGTGTTTGTTATATCCTATTTAGTAGGATATTTATATTATATCCTGTATACAAGCTGCTTTTTCTGCTGTTTGTCTTGGCAGCCAAACATGACTTGCTACAAGGAGGAAATCTTTGGGCCCGTCTTAGTGGTCCTGGAAGCAGATACTTTGGATGATGCCATTGAGATGGTGAACAATAACCCCTATGGAAATGGAACTGCAATCTTCACCACCAATGGAGCCACAGCTCGGAAATATTCTCACTTAGTAGATGTGGGCCAGGTATGTTCAAGCTCAAATTGTTGCTATCAGTACTCATTGTTTCCAGTGGGTAGCCGCCCAGCTGTAGTGACTGATCACTGACTGCTCAGCCAACTGTACCCAGCCTTGGATTTAAGGCAACAAAATGCAGCATCTTTTGGCAAGTGCTCTGCAATCTACTACTTCCTGTGATTAATACGGCGGCTTTTCTTTGGTTTAGGTGGGTGTCAATGTTCCGATCCCAGTACCTCTGCCCATGTTCTCTTTCACCGGCTCTCGTGCTTCTTTCAGAGGAGACACCAATTTCTACGGCAAGCAGGTAACTTCCTGAGTCAGAGTACTCTGTTGGGTTGAATTGTGATACATCACATGATGAATGGCAATGAGGAGATGGTCATCAGAGCTCATTAGTAAGGAGACTTCGAAGCTGTCTCAACCAGGAAACTGAAGACCAGACAGTGATCACAGCCACCATAATGCATGTTACAATAGCCAATTCCTAAGAAGCAAGCTTTCTCACAGAACCAGAATCTTTGGGGAACTGATAAAAGGAGCAGGCTGATGGGAATTGTTCCCACAGAGGAAAACTCAACCCTCTGTAGATAAAGTAGAAACTGTTTGATGCACTACTAGACCTGAAGAATTTATAAGGCCAAACACCTGATCCTTGTGTCTCTCCTTTCCTCCAGGGAGTGCAGTTCTACACACAGCTGAAAACAATCATTTCTCAATGGAAAGAAGAAGATGCTACTGTTACGAAGCCCGCTGTGGTTATGCCAACTATGGGAAACTAAATCAGCCTTTGCAGGTGCTGTGGCTGGTGCCCTTCTCCTTCTATGCTGCACTTTCCAGCTTTGTCCTGACTATCATAATTTCCTTGGGAATTAATAGAAAGCTCCATGTTCTCAAGGACCTCTGTTTCTGTGCAGATCAGGCAGGCTCATGTAACGCACAGTCTGGGTTTTCTGTTGCTGTCAGTCTTTTTTGGCTAGCTGAACTCATTCTTTTTTTCCTACAACCTATCACAGAGGAAACAACCTTATCTAACTGAAAGGGCAGATAGTGAGATTTGGCCTTAATTTGTATTTCTTTCCAGATGCTCTGAACTTGAACATTACTCTGGTTTCCACCTCAATATCTTTAGCCTTAGTGACTGACTCACTCCTGGCTACATCTTGTAGCAGTTTTCTTTACCTCTTTATCTTACATCCTAAGATTTTGAGTTCACCTTACTCAAAGATGAGTACTTTTTTGAGTGACATAACTGGGACACCTTGGGTGTCTCATAGAAGTGACTTTACAAACAATGAAGACAGCAACTTTGGGAGTTGAAAATTTCAGTCTTTCATCTGTTGAGCAGTTTCCAAAACACTCGGGAAATAGCTTTCCTTTTTCAGGAAAGAGTATTTCATTGCTTGTCAGAGGATGAAGGAAATCCCTGTGTGGTACAGTGACCTTCACCATGCCTCTGACAGCTTGAGAACTTCTGTTCCTGTTGTGCACATTGGCTCATGTTCTCCAGCTTGCTGCTGATTCTGTTACACCTGAAAGTTGCTTGGTGCCTTTGTACTGTGCTAACAGACACGTGCCTACAGGTCCTGTAGCGTAATGAAACTGTGGAAGCAGAAACATAAGTGTGTGTATGTATCTTTGCGTCACAGCATTGTGTGGGTCTGGGTGGAAGAGATAGTAAATAGACGAGTCAGTGGGAAGACAGAACACAGTTTTTTAATCACAAAGCAGCCAGGCCTGTTCTGTTGATTTCTTCTCCTGACTGTAGCTGTATTTCTTTTGCTAATTGATTGACTCCTTGTAACATTTGCTCAAACACAGTCACGTTCTCTAGGGACTGCAGGTCCCATTACTAGAGAAGGATAAGACTTGGTATACCCAGTTTTTAAAAATCTCTGCATTTGGAGCTTGAGAGCCTGTATTTTTATTCCTGGATGCAGCCATGAGGGAACTTATTCAAGCACCCATGGCAAATACTACTATTCTAATGATTGTAACTGTTACTTGTTCTAATTAAACTACCCGAATGTGAACACTTTGTATCCTGCCTTCTGGCAAAGATGCCTTGTAACTGACATTTATGTATTAGTGCAATTGCTGTGCATTCACTTATGTTTGTATCTTGGTTTTTTCCTCTGCTACACCCTAGAGGGAAATTCTCACTGTGTAATTTGATTACGAATTAAAAACATGCTAATACATTTCTGCAGAGTGTGACTGTTGGTCGGTAAGGCACTATATAGGTGTGATGTTGACTTCATTCACCTCTTTGCAGAGGCTGGTCTGTGACTCCTGTAACCCATGTATATCCATCCTTTTACAGTATTTCAAGGACTGATTTCCCCATACAGCATTTCAAGTAATGCCTTGTTTCTGTTTCCACATACACATCACTTGATTACAAAACCTCTTCAGCTTCACATAAATTACTTTATTCCAAACTGAAAATGTATCTTCATCAAATTATAGCAACACATACATACAGAGTTCTAAGCACTACTCCAAACCCTAGTGCTTTGTATGGGGTCATCTGAGCTCCTGGCTTGGGAAAGAATAAAATCTTTACTTTAAGAAGGAGGAAAATAACTATGTCGGATAGATTTCAAAGGTGTAGTCAAAGCAGCAGTGCAGCAGACAGGGGATTTAGAATTTGTACTTTTGCTCACAAGAGAACTTCCAAAATGAAAAGTGCAGATGAGTCAGTAATTGCTGTGGCTGTTGCTCATGCAAAGCATGCAGCTGCCTTACTCCTGTGGGGTTAACATCTGAATAGGTGGAAGGACTGCTGCAGAAGATGACGAATCTGGTAATTCGTCCTGCTGTGTAATGAATATTAGGTTGGGAGAAGTATTTTCTGCGCTGCAAAGGTAAAATATTGTAGGTAAATCACCATTAAGACATTGGCATTCATTCATGCACCTGGGAAAGGAAAACTAATTTAGTCTCTAATATTGTCTATAGTCATTCACTTTTAAAGCACCTTAATTTTCTTCCTAATCACTATTGCTATTCTGACTTTTCTGTTGTCCTATTAAAACCCATTATATCTTTCCTTTAGAAATTCTAAAATCCAGCTTCTCCTGTAAGAAAAGCAGTCTTTATCAAGCTTACCTGCTCCCTGGAGAACTGCAGGAGTATCCTTGAGCTTTCTCCAGACCTCTCCTAGACACCTGGATAAGCTTTTCACTTGTGCGCAAACATCTTTTCTGATTATCTGCATTTCCAACAGCATTTTTTAAACAGATGGTTTTAAATAATTGTACCAGAAATGCAAACATTGTATCTGCCTTTTTTAGTCCATGAAATGCCTTTTTAGATCAAGCTGCAAATGCTGACTGATCATGATGTACCTGCCTCATCTCACTGCTGTTACACCTTTCCACCCACCTGTTTATTCTCCTTTTATTTCACTATAAAGAAGTAAGCTAAAGAATATATTTTCTATATTATACAAAAGTATAATCTAAGTATAAAGTATCTCATAATAAATTTCTTTAGACTATATTAAAATATGGTTTTATAGTCAACCCTTTGTCTCCTATTAAAAATTATTTCTTGCCTAGAAGGCACTGCAGTCTAGATTCTCAAAACTTGTTGATACTCTTAAGTCCAAAAATCATGCAAAAATAGTTTATCTACCTTTGAGAATTGGGCCCTGTGACTTCCACTTCTGGGGTTTTTTTTGCTGTCTGTACAAAAAAAAGCTACAGCTCACTTCCATTCCCATTTCTGGAAGAGGCAGTCTGCCTCTCCAAAGGAGGTGTCCCCTACCTTCTCATATAAATCCCCCAGGGCTCCTGCTTATGATGAACTTTATCTAGTTATTTGATGTCTGGGCATTCCATTTTGCTTTTTATGCTTCACTGCCTCATGTCTGACATCATGGCATGCCAGAACCCCTCCCTACTTATTCCTCCAGGGTAAGTTGATATTGTTTGCCTTGGAGTGTTATAATTAGCTATATAGTTGTACCTGAGTCTGTATCTGAAAACGAGGCATATGAATCTTCATCCTGGTCCTTTCTCTCTTAAGCAATTCTATATGGAATGCAACATCAGCTTACTACATTTCGCCTTTTAATCAAAACTCACTGTGCTAGCTGAAAATGCATCTCCTTGTATGGTCATGACCTTGCACAAGAGAATCCTCCAAAAATAATAAAGCTGCTTTTCAATAAGAGGAGGCTTTAAGGGGGCAGGAGATCAATATTTTTTCATGAGAGCTGAGTCTAAATGCCTGCTGCAAAAAGATCGACATGACCAGAAATTTCAAAATAAACAAAAAATGCCTCTCATCACACATACACTTATTTGTGTATAGACATGCTAATATTGATCTTCAGACAGACCAAAGTATTCTAAAGTGGGAGAGGTGACAGAGGGAGAACTGCATCCATAAGCAGGACTGAGGAGATGTTAGTGTGGTAGAATTTAGTATCTTACCCAATTCTGCTTTCTTCTTTAGTATCGTCAGGAGCTGGAGCTGAAGTAGCCAACACTCTGGTGCATTTCCTGTGAGGAAGACACAAGAGCAAAGTAATCCTCATCTAATGATGATTTATGCTCAGACAGGTTTCTAATCCCCCACCAAACTAGTTTTCTAAAATGAACAGCAGGCAAGAAGTGCCAGGACACCTGAGGTACTGCAGTTCGCTCCCCAAAATGAGCACTATGAATCAAACATTAGTTCAGTTCACTGTGGAATTCCGTATTTTGTGGCAAAATCATTACAATTGAAAGGGAATGAGGAGAAACAAACAAGAATTTTCTTAAAAATCTGGGTTTAATCGTAAGTCAACTTAAAATGAAGCGTTTGTATTCCATTCCTCAAGGTTTCACGCTCTACAGCTTTGTGTGTGCTCTTATATGTTGGCAAATATTGATAAAAGGAGTTAGATTCATGCATAAATTGGAACCATAAAAGCTGATGGATGAATCATTTAATTATACATTTCTTACTTCCACTCCAATAACCTTAATAAAATTTGCTAAAATTCCATTAATGTAACTTTTGTTAACAAAATGTAAAACTTTTTTAAAAATTAAATACTCTTTTAACACAGAGAAGCTGATATTCCACCCTAAGCATTACATCTCCCCAAACTACATTAAAAATCAGAGCATTTTAGATTTCTCTTTGGGCCCCTTATGCCCCAATTCACAGCTTATAATATATTTGATGGTGTTTGAATTTTGAATTTCCAGTGTAAGCCATATTTTAGGTACCTCTAAAGTGATACTCCCAAGTTTCTTACGCAGACAGCAATGAGCCATAGAGTAAAAGTCCACTTTTAATAATCTGGCTGTGGGTATTTGTACTTTTTAATACTGGGCAGATTGCTTCACAGCACTCTTATTAAAAGGAAATATATGTGGGGAGTGCTACTGTCACAATATACGTTATTTACTTGGTTGGTAAAGATGGATAGGGATTTATTAATGACTGAACTAAATTAATCCCACTGTACTGAGCAAAGTTAATTCTCCTCACTTCTGTCTTCCTCAGCACTACCAAAATTTACTTCCACTTGCTTTTCTTTTGATACTACACACAAAGATCTAACAGTACAGCCTGGTGCATGTCCAAAATTAGTACATAGTATATAAACTTTTTCAAAAGGTTAAATCAGCTTTTCAAAAGGCTGAAGTACCTCACACCAAGCCACACAGTTAGCTAGATCCTTATGTTAGCTTAGATTCAGAGTTTCTTGGAATTCCCTGACCTGGAGTTATCAGCCCAGCTCCTGTAACAGGGAAAGTTCAGTGTTCACCTGCTGAGGAACCAGATTATTACCATGGATTTGTGCCATTCATTTTGGCAAAAAGCAGTCGCAGAACACGTTCTTTTTGTTCCCATGTCAACTCACTGATATCCACTTTTTCAAACTGGATTTTTTCCCTGAAAAACACAGAAAAGATCAATGCATTAGAAGAAAATTTCAAATTCTGTATGTGTAAAACAGGTTTTAAATTCTAGCTCTGCATTGCTCTTGTTCAGCTATTCATAGCATGTAAATAGAAAAGATAAATCTGAGCACACAGCTGTCTTTTCAACTTCTGAATGTTTGGCTCTCGGTAAACTAAGGAGAACAAGCCTGATGACTTCTGTTACACGTCATGGTTACAAACACTGGGAGGGGGCGGGTGAGTACTAACGTGTATTAGCTTCAAGTGCATTGTCCTTTCCTTGCTTCTCCTGTTCATATATAAAGGGTCAATACATGTAACCGATTTTCATTCTCAGTTCCAGTCTCCCCCAGTTGCTCCAAGGAGAAGCTTCCTTGGATCTCAGTAACTACTTTCACCTCTGATTTTTCATGGAGTGATTATGCTGTATTATTTTTGCGGTAAGATCCCCTGAACTGAACAAACCATTCTGAATGATTGTGTCGCCAAGCTATTCAACAGCAAATGCATACTAAGCAAACATTTTATATGGGAGTAGGGTAATTTTGATCGCTCACCAAGGATGTATGCTGGCTTCAGCTATGGGGGACCTTAACTTGATAGCTTAAAATCCAAGTGCCTGCACAGTGCTGCAGTGTGTAGGCACACATTTCTAGCAGGAGGTTGGAGACCTGTAATCCTGGCCACTGCGGCATGTAGCCCTAATTTAAACTAAGCTGCATCCTAATACACATTCTGAGATATTCACACTTGGAAACCCAAGATTTTGTTTAATTCACTACAAAAATGTAATCCTGCCAATCAGTATGGTACTGCATGAATCTTGGTTTTGATATGCCAGTGTCTATTTCATGTTAATGGCATAATTTTTAGATTACTATGAAGCTTGAGGAAAACAACCTTCGAAAGCACAATGCAAAGCAGGGGCTTCTGACGTTTGGAAGAACAGTTGAAAAAAAGACTGGATTTGCCATCTGTTGGATGTTTCTGTTAAAGTGATCAGCAACACAGTAAACAGCTGTTGCCATCTTAATTGTAATTTTTAGGCTTCAGTGTTGTTAGCTCACTGGAGCGAGTAAAAAGCAAAAGACCAATGCCAGAAGAGCAGTGCCTATAAAACCAAAAATATCAGAGAAGCAAGGATAATTATTAAAAGGAAATGGCAGAAGCAGTTCTATACTGGAAGGTCTATATCAAATTCCACAGCACATGGCAGAATATGCTTTCGAGCTTGTCTTTAATCCATAGAAATAATGACCAAAAAGCGGTAGCCTAGTTGAAATTAGGTGCCCACAAAGTCATTACTAATGGATAGGATATCACACCTCATACAGTTACTCTCCCTACAAAAGTCTCCACAAGCATTTAAAATCTAGACAATATTATCAGGCAAAGGGTTTTTTTCAGGTGTGCTAGGAAGATAAGACACTAGTTTTTGATGTTTCAATACCAGTAGCATTTCTCTGCTTCCTCTAGGTCTCTGTACACACTATTTGTGCTATTTATGTTGCTTTTGAATGTTTTGATTTGGGGAAATTCTTCCTTCCCTGCACATGCCTCCATCATTTTTCTGTAATAGGCAATTTGAGCCTTCTTCTTATAGTGCTTTCTACTGGATATGATCTCCTGCTTCACATGTTCCAGAGCATCTAGGAAGAACCTTTCCACCTCGGTCCTCTCATTTAAGATATTCCGGGCTAGTTTCTTCACTCGGTTCATCTCCCGATCCTTCATTTCTAGTAGTTGCTGCAGTTTCTTGATCTCCACCATGCTTGCCTGGTTTTCTACCAGCTGTGTTTTCCGAGTCTCTCTCACAGATTGTCGGGTCATGTGATGTAAGGCCATCTCCAGCTTTTCCACTTTACGCTGCAGATCTCCAATCTGTGTTTTCTGGCGATTGATCTGTAGGATCTTTTTTCGAATCGAACACTCATTGATTTCCTAAAAGATGGGAAGAAATTATGTGGGCTTTTATTTCATTTGCACTAAATCTGGAGGTGTTTTTTTTCAACCCCCAACACTGACAACGTAGTAAATATGTTGGTACCTTCACATTGGAGAGTGAATAATTCTCTGTGATCAGGTTTTTGTTTACAAGAGAAGCCAGATAAGAAAGGCTTTGTATGTAGTATACATTACAGAGGGACCTATTCTTAATGGGCTAACATAGGAAACCATTCCTTCTTTCTCCTCCACAATTAAGATAGAATAAGAGCTCTTCAGACAACTCTGAATTCAGTAACTGCAGAGGTGTCTGACCGGGGAGCGGTCAGTCTCAGTACACTTACATCTGTATCCAGATGCACCCCTTCCTAGAGGAGAATGAAACAGAATTAAAACCAGAGCAGAAACCTTCTCCTGTAACAGAAGAGCTTTGTCCTCTTCTAACTTCTGTTTGATTTTCTGCAGTTCCATTGTCTCTTTCAGCTGGTAAGCAAAGGCACTGTGAAGACTAACATTCTCCTTGAACATCTCTTTCCCAGTGCTGTTCAGCTGCCTGGACAGAGGGAAACAAAACCCAAGAGCTTTAATCACAACCTTTCTTGACTTTTTTAATATTAAAATCAATACTTCAGTGTCCTAATTCCAGAGCTAAGCTGTAAAATTCTTACAGGTCTGTACCAAGTTTTCATAGCTTTGCTTCTAGTCCTACATCTGGACTTGGAGAATGAAGAAAACAGCGGTACCATTGTGATAATATTGCCTCTAGTTCTCCCCTGGAACCAGCATGAGTCTTACAGTTTAAATGTAAATGCTGACATCATCTTGACATTTGAAATATAAAAACAGGCTAAGTCATCACTGATTTTGCCCTTCAAAGCCCATGTAGTAACATGGGAAACTTATTTAAAACACAGTGCTGAAATGGTTTTGTAAAGTAAAAAAACAGGAAAAGCGTTTCTTACAAAACAGCCTCATGCTGGGCAGTCTCCACCATTATCATTTGCTTTTTCTCAACATCTTCTTCCATTTTTTTCTGCAAGGGAAAAAAGCCTGTTTAAATTTTGATGAGACCTGTGGCACTGAAGCTAAAATTTGAAACAATGTCAAATCTAAAATTGTACCCACAGTTTTCAGCACACCTGACTTCTTGCTAGAGAAAGAATGAACCCTGAGGGCACTGAAGTACCTGATGGAAGTGGAGAATACAGCCTTTCTGGGATTCCGGCATCCTGTTTTTCCTTGGAAAGCTGCACCTAGCATTCAACTCATTCACCATACTTGTATTGACATGGGAAATTGTAAAATGCTCAGTAAAGAGCTGTGGAAGCTACATAAACAAAGTAGTCAGTGGGAGAAATAATTCTGTTCTAATAAAAGTCCCTTTAACTGCCCACCAGTCTTTACCTTTTCTTCAAGAAACCTCCTCTCCAATCTCATAACCACTTCCTGATGTCTCCTGTCTGAAATCTCCATACTCTCTTTTAACTATGATGAAAAAGTAAAATTTCTTTAATAATGGCGTTTTATTTCAGCCATATAACTACAAGTGTGGTGTACTCTTCAAAGAGGAATTTGGTGGTCTTTCCTGGCACTACCCACAGTCTTCATCAAATTTTTATGCTATCTATAAAATTCACTTAACCTTCTGACTTATATTATTGCTTTGCTTCCCCTTCATAGTTCACCTGTGCCCATACTTTCACATCACTGACAGTCATTTGCACATGTCCTGTCACTCTGTTTAATGCCCAATTTTAGAAATCTGCTTTGTCTACTCATTCAGTCATCGAGATCATTCCGAGTCCACGCCTCAAGCATTCTTTGAAAAATGCCTGACTAACTTGCATTTGATATCTTAGCTTAAAAGCACCTTTACGTTAATAATCCAAATGCTGTTGTCTCCGTGGAAAGCATTTGGTGTTGTTTTTAAGCCCCTTCTTGTGGTTGAAAAAAATTACAGCAGAACTGAGTCAGCAAGGCACTTGAATTGCTCGAAGCACTTTTTTCATGTCATCAGTCAGGTGGGATACTTTTTTATCCCAGACTGGAATGTTTTACAGCCAACTCTATTTAATATTTGCATTATAGCTCCAAAGCATCTCTGATGAGGTCATGTGCTGCATTAAGTGCTTAGTGACAGTCCCTAGTTTTATACTCTAGATGGCTTATGTGGTTGAAAAAATGATGCAATACTAGCATTCGCATCCTAATTGAGCTGACTAGCGAGACATCAGTCAGACTTACACTGCTTCTAGTCAGTTGCTAGCTCCTCCATACATATCCCAAAGTGTGTACTAGATGCTCTAGCCCATCCACGTATATGTTTGCACAATTCCATGTTACTGTGTAAAAAACCAAAACCAACTCTACAGCACTGGACCATTACAGAAGTGAGTTCTGGCTACAGAACTTGCATTTTATCAACTAGTGCTTTTCCTCACTCTCTGTAAAATGTAAAGAAAACAATCCAGTAGATCAGCCATGTTTGTTCTCCTCCACTCCCAAATTCTATGCTGCCATGAAGATAGACAAGTTACTTTTTAAAAATAAATATCGCAAAGGCATTATTTATGACAAACTTACATCTTCCAGCTCTTTCTCCATAGCTGCTTTCTCCCTGTGGAACTCCTTTATTAATATCAGTTCTAATTGAATTTGGCCAATTTCCTCAACTTTTTTCTGAAATTCCTCCTCCAGTTCTTTTATTTGTTGGGCATAGTAGTCTGCCTGCAAATCAGAAATTCTCGATAAGAAAGCAAAATGAGAGAAAACAACCATCAAAGATCATAACATAAAATGCAGAGCACACAGAACTGAATGTCTGAAATTATACTGAGCTGCAGTGTTTTAAAAAACCCAAGGAATTCATCTTTAGAAGAAATGCTGCAAACTCAGCAGAAGCTACCCTCCAGTGAAATAAGAAGTCCAGAAATAAATAGTAAGTTTAAAGCAGCGTCCATATTCCTGAAGGACTGCACCCTGTGGAAGAGACCCACGCTGGAGCACTTTGTGAAGAACTGCACCCTGTGGGAAGGGCTCACATTGGAGAAGTTTGTGGAGAACTGTCACCTGTGGGAGGGACCCCCACGCTGGAGCAGGGAAATAGTGTGAGGAGTCCTGCCCCTGAGGAGCAGCAGAGACAGCGTGTGATGAACTGACCCCAACCCCCATTCCCCGTCCCCCCTGTGCTGCTGAGGGGAGGAGGTGGAGAAATCAGGAGTGAAGTTAAACCCAGGAAGAAGGGAGGGGTGGGGAGAAGGTGCATTAAGATTTAGTTTTATTTCTCATTATCCTACTCTGATTTGATTGGTAATAAATTAAATCAAGTTCCCCGAGTCATCTGTTTTGCCCATGATGGCAATCGCCAAGTGATCTCTCCCTGTTCTCATTTTGACCCATGAGCCTTTTGCCATATTTTTTCTCTTCCCTGTCCAGCTGAGGAGGGGGAGTGATAGAGCAGCTTGGCGGGCACCTGGTGTCCAGCCAAGGTCGACCCACCACATTGATCATCTATAGCCTTTTCTGCTCTTTATAATCTGAGGGTGAGAGAAAGTTCCTTTATGGAGTCTGCTTGATGGGACATAACTGTCTTAAAGAGCAGATGAGCACAGTTCTGTGTTTCTTATTGAAGCCAGATTACCAAATAATAATTTTCTCAGTTCTTTTTAAGAATTCTTGGTTCAACAGTAATGAATGAAGAACTATAAAAGAATTGAAAGTAGTTATTGTTTAGCTCAGTAAAAATGAAAAATGCTTTTGCTGTGCCTCTTGCCTCACCATTACCCAGCTGGTTCCTAATACTATTTCAGATGTTATAAAATATTCCTACTACTATCGGCTCAGTAAAAATGAAAAATAAATTTCAGATGTTATAAAATATTCCTACTACTATCTGAAATAATACTAGAGTCATGGGATAACTCCCACACCAGCATTTTTTTCCAAGTTCTTTCTTCATGCAATATTTTTGCATCGAAACCTGTAACAGTTAACTGCCCTAGCTCCTTCCTCATACTAAAATGAGAACTACTTTTCAGCCCACTCAGAAGACCCCACTGTTCTCATGACAAAGAGAAAAGTTCATTCACCAGCTTCTTCTTCTCTTCTTGTGTTTGTTGTTTCATATCAATCAGCTTCTGCGTCAGTTTCTTAGTCTGTGAAAAGAGAAAGCAAGAAACAATAAGTGAGGGGGGAGGGAGGAAAGTATCCTTGCTGTATTCTTATCTTCAAATTTGAATACGAGAAGACACAGAAAGAGGGGAAAGATCCCTGATTTGCAGTGTTCACGTCAATGAAACCATGTTTGTGTCAAGCATAGGAAATAATGAAAGCTTAAACTACAAAAACCTGCACGTATTAGATACAAATGGATCTGTGACTCTACTGAAGAATTAAAACTACATAGACAGAGGGTTTTCTTCCTTACTGTTTTGGATAGTGGTGCAGTGTTAGAGGAGTTTAGAAAAGGAAAAAAAAAAAGACAGGTACAGAGAAAAAAACAGGCAGCTGGAAAAAGGTCCAAGTAAGATCTTCTACACTGGATAGGCTGAAAGAAAACAGTGGGATGCGAGCAAGAAAATTGTCTCCTACCATTTAACCTCACCAATGTCCTGGGGATCAGAGCTTTGCATCTTCTTATTCAGTAAATAGGATGTTAAAATAATTTAATTTTAGTTTTGATTTTCAGTTTCTTTTTCTAACTGAAAAAAGGTTTTGCTTGGTACTTGGATTTAGAAAGCTAGCATTAGAACTGAAGTGAAATAATCCGCGATGCAGGAAATGGAAGCTACAGAGTAGGGTTTTTTTTCTTATTGCACTCTGAGTAGAGTTTAGCTCCATTTTTTTCTAAAGCCTTCTCCAGGTAGCTAAAACCAGCAGATTCCCCCTCGGCTTGTCTTTTTTTTCAAGCTGAACAAACGCTTCGGCCTCTCCTTGTACATCATGTGCTGAAGCGCCCGACCATTTCGGTGTCCCCTGCCCTGGCCTCCTTCCGGTGTTTTGCTCTCTCCCTTGTACTGAGGGAGAGCAAACCCGGCCCTGGGAGCAGGTCCCAGGCAGGCTGGGCGCTCGGGGCCCGCGAGGGCCCTTCCCGCCGCCAGGGCGCACTGCCGCCTCACGTTCACCAGGTCCTCCCGGCGGTGTCCTGGCACCGGGCTGGGCCAGGCGCTGGCACCCAAACACAGCG